TTAGCACTAGTATTATTAAGAGTCACCAAGTTAAATATATCTAAAAATACACTATTTAAAAAAAAAAATTTCTTTTATTTTTAAATTATAAGTACTCTTTTTCTTCAAAATCAGTTAAATTTTAAACACTAAAACTTTGGTCACTTATGGATTATGTGTATCACGTCACTAAACAATAAAAATAATAATTTAAATAAGAACAACAGTTGTTAAACATCGATTGTTAAAAATGTCTGTAACCAATTACATTAAAAAAATTTAATTACAGTGTGCTGAAATGATTTGCTTGTGAACAAAAAAAAGTGCATCTAAACTTCAAATAAGCAAACTCTGAAAATAATTATTAAAGTTAACATTAGTATATTTAAGAGTCATTTAAATAAGTTTGTTTGCTGAGAAAATTTTTTAACAATTTGGTAATTAAAAATAAAAATTTCATTATTTATTTTAATATAGTTATAATATTTACATAAAAGTTTTCTCTTGTTACTTTTTTCTTATCTCCAGTTTTGTTTTCTTTTGATCTTAATTAACTAATAAAATTTAAAATATAGTTAAAGAACAGTGTTTTTTTTTCATATTTTTTAGAAACTAATTTTGTTAATGAATCAAATTAAAAAATTGATAAAATAAAATGGTTAAAAAAATAAAGAAAAGAATTTTAGTTTAGTAACATGATTACATTAAATTTGAAACATTGTTGCAGGAGGTTATTATTGGGTTGTTATTGTTGTTGGGTTATTATTCTTTTTATGCATTTGTTATTATATTATGATTACAACATATTCATTTTATGCATTTGTTGTCATAATTTTTGAATTGTTGTCATTGATATTTTTTTAAATTGTAAATATAAATTGATTGTGTGTTTTATTCTAAATTATTTTATATTCAATTTTTTTATTTAGTTATTTTTTGGTAACATTTCACCATCAAACTAAGATTGTTAACATTAGACAGCATGCACCTCTCTTGCGTTCCCTTAGAAGATATGGTAGTCGACGGCTTGTTATTGAAGGTAGTTTTTTTATTTATAACCAATAACTTCACTTTTAAATTACTCAATTATCTACTATTTAGTTATATTCAAGTTTTTTCAGTATCCTCAGAGCTGGAAATATATACTAGAATATCTGGCTATTACAATATATCCAATAGTGATGTACCAATAGCACTTTTTTGGCCGATGTGGATGGATGCAAAAAGACTGATACCAATGAATTAACTGAATATTACAATTTTGAAAATATAAACCATACAACTTTAAATCATGTAATCTTTATCATGGAATCAATACTGGTAAACAAATACTTGGACCCAAATCACAGCCAAACCATAATGGTTTGGTTCTGATTTAATACATATTAGAAAAACTTAAAAAAAAAATTTTTTAGTTTGTTTTTTTTTACTATGAAAAGGAAACTTTTAAAATGAAAATGGTAATCATAAGCAGTTTACTTAGAATTCTTTAATAATTTATTTGTAATTTAGATATCTAAACTACAATCATATGTTGTTTAGATAACTAAATTATTTTTTGATTATAAAGTTGTTTTTGTTACTAATTTTATTTTGTTCGATCCCCACCGGCGCAGTGGCCTTGTTCGTCAAGGTTTGAGTTTTAGAGTTATAAAGTTAAAAAAGGGTTGTAACAATAACTAAAGTAGCCACCTCGAATGGCCTTCATGGGCTTCATGGGCTTGGAGTGTTGAATTTAAATAAAAAACAATAAAAAATAAAAATATAGAAATATAGTAGGCTATACCTGAACACATATAGATAACAATCCTTAAATAGGTTACTTTTAAGTATAAAAATAGAACAACACAAAACAAAATTCTAAAAACATCATTATGATAATAAAAGTATAAGTATATAAGAATGAACAATATTGCCTGTAAACAAAATTAAAATAAACTTATCATTTTACAGTAAAAACACAATCAGCATTAGAGTTGGCATTCGGTAATGCCGACCTTAAAGTGTTTGTCGTCAGCAAAAAATTGCCAACCTTTTTTCTATGTTTTATGACAACCACTTTGTCTCTTTTTGCAGACCTGATCTTGACCTCTACCATTTAAAGGTCGGCAATATATATACAGTGTTTGAAAATATAATGGGACAATAAGCACCAGCGATTTTTCAACTTTTTCTTGAAAAATTAATTGCCTCAAGCGTGAGTAGCTTAATTAGACCAAAAAACTATAATGTGCAAAATTTGAAAGTTGCAAGTCTTTCCAATTCTATCTTATTTTAATTTTTTACATTTATTTGATTATAAAACATAAACTAAAGTGAGTTATAATTAATGAATTTTTTAAAATAAGTGTTAGTGTAAAACATTTTCCTGCATATTTTTATGTATAATGAAATGTAAATGATTTATTTTTTAATTTTTGTAATTTTTTAGACATGTTTCAGTCCTGAAAAAATGGGCAGTCATAAAAGCTATATAATTAGATGAACTTATGTAAATAAAAAAAAAACATGGTTGTAATTAATTTAGGTTTAGATAAACATTTATCAAAAATTTTTTTAGATATATTTTTGATTTAGTAAAAAAAAAAATTTAACTTTTTAGCTTGAAAACTTTAAATTAATGCAGAAAAAAAAACAGCTGGAAAGTTTTGGTTTTGCTTACATTTACTTATTTTAAATGACGCATTTCTATGTAACCAGCTGACCGGACCCGTAATAATACTGGTCTTTGTAAGTCTATTCCACACTGACCTTTTCTATACTTTTTATTTATATATATATATTCTAGCTTTGCGAACCCATAAAATTTTTTGAAACCATTACTCTTTTTTTATTTATTTATTTTTTAGTAACATGATTCATTATGAAAAACTGCTTTAAGAGCAAAAAAATTAACATGCACACTATTTCTGCTTATATAGAGCTTATAACAGATTTATAAATTAGGTTTGTTTTCCTCCTGAACACATATCATTGATAGCTCAGTGGTTGTCATCAGTGTCATTTTATGGGGTTTAAGACCTCCCGTTAGCATAATAAATTTTGAATTTTTTTCAATTTCATTTTAGCAATTAATCTAATTGTTAAAATGAAATTTTAAAGTTTTCTCATTTTATATATATACTATACATGATTGTTTCATATACTGCCTGCAAACTCAACATATGCTAAAGTCATTTAGACTTAGAGGGGTTTGTACATAACACTATACAGGCCTCGGCAGAAAATGAGAGCTTTATCTCATGCTCTTGCCCACATTTCCCTAAAACGGTTTACAGGAGCAATTTATGGCTCTAGCAAAAGTATAATTTTTTCAAATTAAAAAAGTTATCAGAGAATGATAACTTTTTTAATTTGTGGCGCCCTGGGCTTGTAACAAGTATACGAGGTGTGTTCAAAAATTAAGGTGACTTTTCAAATTTCGCGGGCAACGTACTTTCGATTATCGATTTTTTTGTTTTGTCATGTTGGTACACTTTTGTCATGTTGGTACACACGTCTCATGCCCTACTCGTTAGAAAAGATTTCAAGGCATGAGCCAACCGATATACCAACATCCTCAGCAACTTCTTTGATAGTGATTTGACGATTTTCCAGAACAATTTTCTTCACTGCTTGAACATTTTCATCAGTTATTGACGTGGTTGGGTTGAGCGAGGCTCGTCATTGGCATCTTCCCAGCCATCTTGAAAGAGTTTGTACCACTTGTAAACATTTTTTTTACTCAGAACAGTTTCACCGTATGCCACTATCAACATTTCAAGTGTTTTGGAGCACTTTATTTTATTTTTTACACAAAGCTTGATGCAAATCCTTTGATCCATATTTTTCGATAGCAAAAAATCGCCGAGCACGCATAACACTTATAACCTTTACGCCTCTCACAACCAAACAAAAAATGCTATACACTTGAAACTTAACTATACTAAACACTATTCCCGAACATCTGTACCAAGTTTCAAGTGTATAGCATTTTTTGTTTAGTTGTGAGAAGTGTTATAAGTGTTTTGTTAGAAAGGTTATAAGTGGTTGTGAGAAAGTGAAGGAGAAAGTGGTTGTGAGAAAGGTTATAAGTGTTTTGCGTCCTCGGCAATTTTTTGCTATCGAAAAATATGGATCAAAGAATTTGCATCAAGTTTTGTATAAAAAATAAAATAAAGTGCTCCAAAACACTTGAAATGTTGATAGTGGCATACGGTGAAACTGTACTGAGTAAAAAAAATGTTTACAAGTGGTACAAATTCTTTCAAGATGGCTGGGAAGATGCCAATGACGAACCTCGCTCAACCCAACCACGTCAATAACTGATAAAAATGTTCAAGCAGTGAAAAAAATTGTTCTGGAAAATCGTCAAATCACTATTAGAGAAGTTGTTAAGGATGTTGGTATATCGGTTGGCTTGTGCCATAAAATCTTTTCTAACGTGTAGGGCATGAGACGTGTGTCAGCAAAGTTTGTTCCAAAATTGCTAAATTTTGACTAAAAGAACCATCACATGAGCATCGCTCAAGAACTGTTGAATGAGGTCAATGACGACCAAGATTTACTCAAAAGGGTCATAACTGGTGTAGAATCATGGATATATGGTTATGATGTTGAAACCAAAGCCCAATCGTCCCAATGGAAGAGCCCAGGTGAGCCAAGACCAAAAAAAGCACGTCAAGTTCAATCAAATGTCCAAGTTTTGCCTACTGTTTTCTTCAATTACCATGGCGTGGTGCATCAGGAGTTCTTACCAAATTGTTTGTATGGTCAATAAACAGTATTATCTTGAAGTTATGCGCCATTTGCAAGAAGCAATACGAAGAAAATGTCCAGAATTGTGGAAAAACAATTCATGGCTTTTGCATCACGATAATGCCCCTGCTCACTCATCTTTGCTTGTGAGAGATTTTTTGGCCAAAAACAACACCACAATCATGCCTCAGCCACCATATTTATCGGATTTGGCTCCATGTGACTTTTTCTTGTTCCCAAAACTAAAGAGACCTATGAAAGGACAGAGATTTGTAACGATTGAAGAGATAAAGACTGCATCGCTGGAAGTGCTCAAGGCTATACCGAAAAGTGCTTATGAGAAGTGCTTTGAGGATTGGAAAAACCGTTGGCATAAGTGTATTGTATCTGAGGGGGGTTACTTTGAAGGGGACAACATAAATATTGATAAATAAATAAATAAATATTTTTTCTTAATTATACAAAGTCACCTTTATTTTTGAACACACCTCAAAAAATTAAAATTTTTATTAATAAGCAATTTTTTAATGAATAAACAGATAGCTCGCACAAAAACCAAAAGTTCTCTTAAGAAGCTCTTAAAGGAGCAGCTCACATGGCTTGCCATGTTTATTTTAGGAGAGTTTTTTGCAGGGTTGAAGAAAACCCAGGGTTTTTTAAAAAAATCCAACCCAAATGGGTTTTATTGGTTTTTTTTTTTTGGGTTTTATGAATTTTTTCGGTTTTTTTAAAAACCGATCAAAATACCAAATTTTTATAACTGTATGAGTACAATAATTTTTTTTTAATTTCATAAACTCACCTCCCTATTGCTCCAATGACTACTTCAGTCAAGGGAGCAACTTTAAAAATATTTTGTCTCAATCCTTAACATTACCATTTTTACTAACAAGCAACATTAACAACTAAAATTTTTACACAAATGCACTGTTCGAAGAAATAGATTGAGCGCAGTAATTTCAGCAGAGATAATTTGAACCCCAACTTTCTGATTGTGAGCCAAATGTTTTACTACTATTCTACTAGCAGATTTTTCCTATAGTGTAAAAAGAGACTCCATCAACTATAAATGATGTTAATTAATTGCACTAAATTAAAAACATGTTTAGAATATATTTGTCTAAAAAAAATCACTATAAAAATTATTATGACAACTGAATTATTCAAAGTTGGTAAGACAATATAAATGTTGGAAACTAGTTATATAGTTAAACCTTTTAAGTTATTGTCAATCGGAATGACTATGAACACTTTTTAAATATTTTTGCATCATTGAAGAAAACTGTTAGCCTAATCACTACATTTTTTTTATCAAAACATTATACTGTCCAGCTTCCTGGAAAAGTTATCGGCATGATCAACTGGACTTAGTCAAACAATGGATATTAAAATATCTAAAATGAATTTGTTAAAAACCATTACAGTGTCTTCACCACCAGATTCTTTTTTTTTTCTTGAAGATGTTTTACTGGCTCAGTTTTGCAATTGAATCAAAGTAACACATTATATAGCTCTATTGTGTGTGTTTCTTCACCTTTGTGCAACTTGATACTGATGTTCATTTTCAACCTGCTGTTCATAGTCACCCCTGTTGGTGGTACATGTTGTAAACTTGTAGCTGATGCAAAATATTTGAAACCTGTCAAAAGACAGATGAGCACGACTATCATTTTTACCAACAAATCTTGTCCTTGTGAAATGAATTTTTACCTGACAACTTTCCATTTCTAAACTGTAAATAAAGTTTAATAATTTTTATATATAGCATTTTGCTTTTGGCTTTGTACTGAAATTTGCAGTTAGTAACATAAGCTTTAAAAAATAAAAGATTAAATACCAATATAAAATGACATATATAAAATGCTTGTTTGGAAATATAGACATTCGAGAGGAGAATAAATTTCAAGACATTACTAAATAACTAGTAATGTCTTGAAATTTATTTAATAGAATGATTTTTATTTTCTTTATAAGTATTTAACTAATTTAATGTTTTAATACATATTTGAATAACATTTATAATAACTTACTACATGTTTTAAAAAAATAATAGATATTCAACTTGCTACAAAAGCAGATTGATCGGTTTTGGATATATTCTAAATATCATTATGTATATAAATACAGTGTTTACAAGAGTAATTACAGCATAAAAGTTGCATTTGCTGATAATAAAGCATTTATAAGTGTTAAAATCAGAGTTATCAGTTGTAAAATAGGCCATTTTTATAAAAACCCAAATATATTTTGGTTTTTTTTTGGGTTTTTTTTGGGTTGGGTTTTTTTGCCAACCCTGGGTTTTTGTGGCTCTTGCACTTATTTACTCCCGCAGAGGCCTGACAAATGGTAGAACTATAAAGATCTTAGACCATTAAAAATTATAGTTGTGGCATTAGCTTTAAAACGCTAATCTAAAGCCAGAAAAATTTTGCCTAATGACATCAGTTCGTGACAAAAAAAGCTTCTATACGTCAAGTTTGTTTTTACATTTTTTGATTAGTTTTAATTATGATACATACAATTGCACAAAAAGATATAAAACTGTTACAGATATATCATTTCATTGATAAGAGTTTCTATTTATTACAATAGTAGTAAATAATAGTAAATAAATAGTTTTAAAGAAAATCATAGTAATTACTATATTTAGATGGTTAATAAACAAATAAATAAAAAATAAAATAAATATCCCATAAAAAATATATTATATATATTTTTAATACAAGGAACTTTCCTTAAATATTTAAACAAAATATTATTTTGACTTTTTTGCCACAAAGTCATGTCACATACGCCAAAAAAATTTGGCTTTAACGATTTAAGAAAAAGTTGAGTCTATCTTATTTAATGGTCAAATTAGAACAAAGCATTTTAAACAAGAACTTTTTTTTTTTTTTTTTATATCTAAATGACCATGCTTAGTAGAAGATGACATAATTTTAGCAATCAGAATTTAAAATTGAAGTTTCAAATTTTTTACTTGGATGAGATAATATGTTTTGTGTTTTTTCAATCTTTTTTTTAATATACAATAACATAAATACAAAAATTCAAAACAAAACCTTGAGCAAAAAAGACATGTAATTATTTGAAAATTTTCATATATTATACACTATGACTTTTTTACATTTGCATATAAAATTATATATGTTTACATATGTTGTTTAATAAAATTATATACCATCCGCAGCTTATTAGGACTAATTACCTGAGCCCATTAATAACATAAGTATCTCAATCATGACATATACGCAACAAATATCTCCTGGTGCTTTGATTTTTTTAAGAATTTTTAGCTTTTTTAAAACTTTCGTTTTTTAGTATATTGAATAATATCTTTACATATTTTATGTATGCAATATCTATAAAAAAACAAAAAGAATTTAAAAAAATCTCCAGTGGTATAATTCGAAAAACCGCTTTTTAGTTCAGAAACTCTGCACGCTATCCATGCATTTACGCTAGCACACTAAAATTATTATATAGTTTTATATTTTAAAACTATATTTTTAACGAAAATACAATAGATCAAAATTAAGGAGATGGCTGCAATGCCATTTTCAAGTGAAAGTCAAACTGTAAAACTTGATTTACTTGTTTTATTATGTTTTAACATTACATAATTTGAAGTTTATGTATGTTAGATGTTTGCATGCACTTTTGTTCACGTTTTCTTATAAAAAAAAGATGCTGCGACTCTTTCATTCCACTACCTCTGTTGCAATGGCTGCCAAGGGTTTCGTGTCAAACAAGCTCAAAGGGACAATACTACTACTACTACTACTACTACTACTACTACTACTACTACTACTACTACTACTACTACTACTACTACTACTACTACTACTACTACTACTACTACTACTACTATTACTATTACTACTACTACTACTTCTACTACTACTACTACTACTACTACTACTACTACTAATAATATAATAATAATAATAATAATAATAATAATAATAATAATAATAATAATAATACTACTAATACTACTACTAATACTACCACTACTACTACTACTAATACTACTAATACTACTAATACTACTACTACTATTACTAATAATAATAATAATAATAATAATAATAATAATAATAATAATAATACTATTACTACTACTATTACTACTACTAAATCTACAAACAGGATTAAGTTCGACAATAATATATAGAGATTCTACAAAAATTTTCTACAAACGTTTTGTTTACCATCAGAGTGTACCAAATTAAATATGGATTCATCTGACCACAGTATTTTTCTCCATATTGAAATTAACTTATTAACATGAGTTTTAAAAAATATTAATTGTTTTTTCTTATGTTGCTTTGTCAAAAATGATTTTTTATGTGGTGTGTAGCTTTTAAACCCATTTTCATGTAAATCATTTTGCATTATTATATCAGTTATTTTGGTTCCAATGTTATTTTCTATATATTCTGCAACTTCTGCAAAATTATTACTTGCTAGGAAGCGCCATTTTATTTTTGTCCCATTATATTTTTCCAACACTCTATATTTAGATACACACACACACACACACACACACACACACACACACACACACACACACACACACACACACACACACACACACACACACACACACACACACACACATATATATATATATATATATATATATATATATATATATATATATATATATATATATATATATATATAAAAATCTTTTTAGATCCATTTATAAGCAATCAAAATGTTGGCAAATCTTTAGGATCACAACTAGGTTATTTTTCTAATTAACTTTTTCTTTTAAAGGTTTCTAGTAAAAATTTCATACTTTTTTTAGTTTAGACAACTTGACCATAGCTGTGGTCAAGTTTTTTAAACTAAAAAAAAAGAAAAAATTAGCTTGCAAAGTACAGAATTTTTAAGTGTACTAGTTGTTTGAATGTTCTCTTTTTTTATATAGATTTTTATATATAGATTTGTTCTCTTTTTATATATAGATTTTAGTTTGATATGGAGTTTTTACTCAAACAAATATTTATTTTAGTGATGAACTTTCTTACAAAATGTATGGAAATAACATACAAGTACTGCATTTCTTTCAAAAGCAAGTAGTTTTATTAATTATTTGTTTTTACTTTTATATGATTTTTATTTTAATTCATACATTTTTATGAGATATTTTTTGAATAACAGATAGAGTTGAATCACATTTTATGAAAGAGAATACAGAGCTGAAAGAAAACGATGGTGAAAATAAACTTGATAATGGTCATCATGATTTAGAAGAAAAGCTTGATGAGGAGCAAGTCATACATTTTGCTGTAAACAAGGTTTTAAAGGAATTGTTAAATAATGTTGCAAAGGAAATTTCATGCATTGCATCTTTCCACTTTCGTACCACAAGTTTTTCCCCAAAGACTCCATTTCCAAAGTTTTGCTCTTCGTGTAAATCAGATGGTCATGGTCACACTACTTGTGAAGTTGAGAACTTCATAGTAAAACCTTTGCAACCTTTAAATAAAGCTAATATAGATATTCTTGATCAAGTTTGTGTAGAAGTTATGACCACTTGTGAAATGACTGGCACAGAATTTGATTTTCGATTGAAGATCTTGAAGAAAACTGAGAATCATTTTAAGAAGATTTTTGATGGTTATTTGTTTTTTGTTTCATTATATATATATATATATATATATATATATATATATATATATATATATATATATATATATATATATATATATATATATATATATGTACCTCAGGTCAGTTATCGTAACTCACATTAAACTACATTACAGGAGAGCCAAATTTAATTACAGGAGAGCCAAATGAAGTTACTATACTTGTTTTTCTGTTAAGAAACGGCTTTTTTTATTTTTAAAATTGATATTTAATATTATTTTGATATTTAAAATTGGTATTATTTACTTTACCACTAAAACAAGACGGTCTCCCTTATTTATGTTAAAAATAACTTATGATATTTTACCCGGCATGACAGTTGAGATAAAAACCTGAAAATCAGCAATTTTGCAGTTACGATAGTTGACCACTGGGGTACAGATATATATATATATATATATATATATATATATATATATATATATATATATATATATATATATATATATATATATATATATATATATATATATATATATATATATATATGTATATTCATGTCTTTATTTGTTTTGTGGCATTAAATTATTGTCTGTAATAAAGATGTTTTTAGATAGTTGCCGTCTTTCATTGTTTGGTTCTTCTGTGAACGGTTTTGGTTTTCGAAACTCTGATTTGGACCTATGTCTACGCTTTGAAACTGATACTCCACCAAAAGATTTAAATTATCAACGTACTATTGGTCTGATAGAAAATGCATTAAAAAAAAGTTCAGACTTTTCTAAAGTATTTTCTATAAAGTCTGCCAAAGTTCCAATTGTTAAGTTTTGTTTAAGAAATGGCGATATTGATGGCGACATTAGTTTATACAACTGCTTAGCAATCGTTAACTCCAAATTGCTAAAAACTTATGCAATGATCGACACTAGAGTTCGAATTATGGGTTACTGCATCAAGTATTTTGCAAAAGTTAGTTGTCTTTTTACTCTTTAAAATATGTCTATACATTTATTTATAGTTTTTTAAATGTCTTCCAAGCTAACATATTGTTTTAAAGAGGCATGTTGTTTACAGATTTTCATTTGTTACTTATTATTTTCATTATTGTTATTATTATTAATATTATTATTATTATTATTATTTGCTGTTACATTAATTATAAGTTTAGATTTACACTTGAAATAAGTTTAAATAATAAAATATGGAAATAATAAGTTAATAAGTTTTGACTTCAACTAAAAAAACCATTTGCACATAGTTTAGTGAACTTTATATATTTGATTTGCAATTCTAAAAGAAAATTATTTTCATGGTAACGCAAAAGAGTTTTGTTTATCAAATTTAAAATACAAGCACACGATATATAGTGAAAAACATACTAGTAAAAGTAAAGATTCTTATACATCTAAAATCAAATATAAAATAATGAATAAAATTGTATCATTTTGAAAAAATACTACTACTGCTACTTTATATTAAATGTATATACGTGACAACATGATAACATGGTACTTTTATACATTTTGCTTACTTCAGTTTTTGAAATGCACACTTAAATCTAGTCATCTGTGTTTTCTTAGAAGTTTGATTTAACATGGTGCATAATAATAAAAGTACTGATTTTTATAAAGATTTTATTTTGTATTGGTTTTATCACAAAAAAAAAGTTTTTTTTACCATTTTGTTTTGTATTGTACCAATTTTAGATGTGGATGTTTACTTGAATCAGTTTTAAAAAAGCATGAACAGATTTTTTGGTTTTGTTACAAGTAAAATGTTGCTTAATACTTTCTGTCCTTGTCGCCCGGCAACAAACAGTAAAATAATGTTTTTCCAAAAATTGCTTATTCTTTTTTTTTTAAACAGAGTAAGCAATTTTTTGTTGTGTTGTAGGTAGGGTTTTTTGATATATTGTTTTAAACTTTTCTTTTGTTTACTCATAAATAATTTGAAAGTGTTATTGCGTTTGCAAGATTTTTGTTTTTAAAAGATAATTTATGATTTGTGTATCTCTTATGATTTAAAGTGATTTGTCTCTTTTTCCACTTTTACAAATTAATGTATGCTTTACAATATTTATTAGAGAGAAAGATTTGTCATTTTACAATTTTTTGTTCAACAGACAGATTTCACTTGGTTTGCAATTGGAAATTAAATTTACAGTCAATTTACTGTATTTT